TATACACAATCAGGCAGGGAATCCAAAGCCAGGCGTCTCAATCCAACGATAGAAGGAAAAGCAGGACTCCAAGAGATCCCTGCGCTACTTTCTTAACCGCGTCATTGGTGCTAATGCCAGTGGAGTTTGAGCGAGAGTGCTTTAGCCACATTTACTCATACCTTGAGAGAAGAATCTGGCCATTGCCAAAACTTCAAGATATATACTACCAAAGATCTCTGGGCCACTGCCGCTTCAACCTTCAAGGAGGATCGTAGGGATGAGTGGAACTAGATAGTGATTGTGTTTGAGAAGCTTGACACATGGAGGAGAAGGAACAATAAAGAACTGCTGAAAGAAATGGGTCAGTCAATATCTCATGACATGAAGGCAAGGAGCTTAAGATGGGCGGGGCATGTAGATTGGAGCAATCCATCAGGACGCCTTTACACAACAATGAATGCCAGAGTAGTAGGAAAGAGACCACGTGGGAGGAGCAATATGGATAGAAAGATACGGCTGAGATTCATGCCGCAAACTGGAAAGCGGAAGCCCAAGATAGGCAGAGATGGAGAAGGATGGTTCAGGCCACCAAAGATCTACAAGATCTGTAGAGTCAAAAAAAAAAAAAAAAAAAAATATATATATATATATATATATATATATATATATATATATATATATATATATCAAAATAAATAGGCCAAATGGCCCATTATGTTTGTAGGCCATCTTTTTTCTTGGTTTTGTGATCAACTTATTTTACGATCCAAGTGGAAAGCAAATGAGCATTTACCAGTTTTTAGTACCTACTTAAATAGACAAAGTATGCCGATCTCCAGATTGAAAAAACACCAATTCCAAGAGTGTTTGTAAATAAAATAAGTTTTTTATATATATTTTAGGCCAAAGGTCACCAAATATACACAGTTTTTATATCCTGTATTCTTTATTTGACGTTTCGGCTTCAGGAGCCATTTTCAAGATCCTGCAAAACATGCACCACGCCATAAATATTTTAAAATCTATCATTGCAATATGATTCGTCTTTTAGACATTCTTTGAAATAAAACTTATGAGAAAATGGCACCAAACCTGAAGGATGTGACTAGAAAAGTAAATAAAATATATGCAGGTCACGATAAGATGAAGCTATTCACGAAGTTTCAAGCGGATGTTAATAATTTGATAAAAAGTGGTCTGTACCATGGACTATATCATGAAACGTAAAAACCTCAGATTTTGAGGCGGGAAGAAGGTTAACTTTTTGTTTATCTTTGTGGATTACAATAGTTCATTGTTGGAAATAATAAACCAATAAGGTACATTAATGAAAAAGAAAAGATACATTATTATTTCTTTCTGTGTCAATCGGCTGGTTTTAATTTTCCATTTTAAGTTGTAAATTCCACAATCTAATCCACACCGGTGATAGAACCTCAACCCTCCCAGAAGTGACACTTTCATGGTGAATATAAATATACATATATATTCTAGCGAGAGGGATAAAGTTAGGGAGACAACAGGTCGCCCATCACTCAGCCTCGGGTGGGAGCCCATTGAATTTCATAAGACAAATCACTGGAGCTCCTTCTCCGATAGTTTTTTCTATTCTTCCCCCGGCTCGCTATGAATTAGAACAAAACAATTGCTGAGCCCCCGCTGACATTTCTGACGGATGGCCTGTCAACACCGCCATCTCTTACGATTGCAGAAGTGTCGTTTCATCCCTACCAGGACCGTTTAGTTTAGAAAATATCGATTAATCATTTATAATATATTCTAAAAAAAAAAAAAAAACAGCTTTTGAATCCGTCTCTCAAAAAAAGTATGAATTTAAATATATATATATATATATATATATATATATATATATATATATATATATTTAGGAGTCAAAGATTGAAGGTGATAATCAAGGCATGCAATTTCTAAACTACTGTTTAAATTCATACCAGACTGAAACGACAAGAAACAGCTCGACGCTTCCGATTACTTCAGCACTTACTAGACAAACGCACTACTAAACTTCCAATAAATTACAAAAGACTCATATGCATGACTATAATAAGGCCTATTTGGACTTACGGAGTTGAGCTATGGGGCTCCACTAAACCATCGAATTCCTCTTGTATCCAATCCTCACAATCCAAAATCCTTCGTAAAATCCTCTATAAAACCATCTATAATGACCTTAATGTTTCTTATGTTTCAGATCTGGCCCAATCCAGATACATATCCTTCCATAATAAACTTCAGAATCATCCCAACCCTCTCGTTTCTAACCTTGCTTCCTCTTCAATTCCTGATAACCCTCCGAAGCTTCTGAAAAGAAGATGGCCCCTTGGTCTCCTAATGTAGACAAATCATTAGAGTGCTACCATTGGGTATTTACTCAGAAAGTGTTTTCACGTCATTATATCCATATGTTCAAATTTACTCGATGTATTTCTTTAATGCAGTTGTAAATATCATTAAGAAATAATAATAAAAAAAAACTATTTAGATATTTTTAAGAATCAGACCTTTGATGTGCAATTAAGCTATCCTTAAAATACACAAATATCTTCACACTCCGAAAAATTTAGGAAAATCGGTTTGTTTTATATGGGTTCCCAGTCACGTGGGTATAGTTGGTAATGAGCTTGTGGATACGGCAGCCAAACAGGCATTCGGCGTTCCAGACAAACAAATACAGTAATTTAACTAATTAAAAACAAAAACTAAACATCTGAAATCAAGAAGTTATTATACTATGTTTATTCATAGTTTAGCTATGAGATAAACTATGAATAAACATTTTATAATCAATCCAAAACCCATTGTAACATATAATATTCTTCCTTTCGTGAAGTTCTCCTGTAATCCACAGTTACCTTTTAATATATCTATGATACTAAAGAGCAAACAAAGCTTTCGCCCCTCTCTCTTAATGGTATTGAAATTCCAAGGACCAATAAAGAACTGCTTACAATATGTACTTAAAACATCCAGTTATCCTTAAAATACACAAATATCTTCACACTCCGAAAAATTTAGGAAAATCGGTTTGTTTTATATGGGTTCCCAGTCACGTGGGTATAGTTGGTAATGAGCTTGTGGATACGGCAGCCAAACAGGCATTCGGCGTTCCAGACAAACAAATACAGTAATTTAACTAATTAAAAACAAAAACTAATCATCTGAAATCAAGAAGTTATTATACTATGTTTATTCATAGTTTAGCTATGAGATAAACTATGAATAAACATTTTATAATCAATCCAAAACCCATTGTAACATATAATATTCTTCTTTTCGTGAAGTTCTCCTGTAATCCACAGTTACCTTTTAATATATCTATGATACTAAAGAGCAAACAAAGCTTTCGCCCCTCTCTCTTAATGGTATTGAAATTCCAAGGACCAATAAAGAACTGCTTACAATATGTACTTAAAACATCCAGTTATCGTTAAAATACACAAATATCTTCACACTCTGGAAAATTTAGGAAAATCGTTTTGTTTTATATGGGTTTCCAGTCACGTGGGTATAGTTGGTAATGAGCTTACTTCAGCCAAACAGGCACTCGCGCTTCCACACCGAGGTACTCCTGTTCTGACCCCCCCAGAAATGAGTTTTCCTCTCAAAAATGAAATATTGGATAGTTGACATTCTATGTGAAACGAAAGCCCACCTATCAAATTAAAAGCTGTTAAAAAATCGGTGAAGCCCTGGATCACATCAAGTCGCCCTAATCGTAGAGAGGAAGTCGCCGTGACCAGGTTAAGAATAGGACACACGAACCTAACCCATGTACATCTCATCACTAAGCAGCCACCACCAAATTGTCAGCATTGCAATAGCCTTCTCACAGTCAACCATATTTTCCAAGAAAGCACTTATTATACTTCAAGCCTAAATCGATTATCTCTACAACATATCCTGTCAGTAGTATTAAGCAACAACGAACCAAACATAAAAGCAGTGATAAAATTTCTTGAAGTCCATTGACTATTAAATAAAATATAAAAATAAATATAATTTTTATTTTATTGTTCTTTTTTTTATATTTATTTTAATATATTTCATTTTGTATATGTTTTTAAATATCTTTTTCATTTGTTACTCTATCTATCTATTATTAATTTTTGATTGTTCATTCTTTTTTTCTATTTCTCCTCTAAAGAGTTTACAAATATAACCGACCCACAGGCGTTGATGACCTTAGGGTTTTACGCCTTAAAGCCTAAATAAACAAATAAACTTATAAACGTTAAAAGTTCCATATATTAAAGATTTCCATTTTAACTGTTTCTGTGAAACATTTTAGGAAAAAAGCTGTACAAAAGTTGTATAATTCGTTAAATGGGGGTTATTCCCCCGTCAGGCGGAGAGAAGATACCCCTCATATTATATTTATATTTATGAAGAGTTGATTTTATTATTGTACTCCGGAAAATGTTTTAAACCGATCCTATGTTTAAACAAATGCTATGAATCCAGATCATAGGCGCTTTAGAATACCTTAATATGAGGATTCGTTGGTAGTATATGAAAAATATTTATTTATTATATTTTTAACTAATGTTTCAGAAAGCTAACATCAACATGTTGTTATTTGATGCATTACATACTTTTATTAGACCATCACCTCTCACAAACTATCCTAATAATTATTTTTGTACTTCCAATCGAAATGAAAAATGTTTTTAAGCCGTTGTACGAGTAATGTTGAGTTTGCTACTGCGAAAGAAGTAATCTGAGCCGCACAGAGAATCCTAATCCCAATAACAGACAAAGTTCCCCCGAAGGAACAGACAGCGGGCCCAACTTTTAATCCCATCGGGGAAGCCGCAGAAGCTGCTACGACCAGAGCCAATATCAAACAATCGGAGGGAATTAAAGATGTCGAATACATCAAGCCTTGGGCTTATTAGAATTTCTTATTAAGAGGAGACTATTAGTCATGCTGGTAATTGCCAAGGGAATTACCTCAGAAAACTCTATTAGCTAAGGAATATCCAGACAGGGAAAAATTCTTATAGGTGTCTTCTTAAGCCCCGTTGGGAGTTGGCTATACCGCTCAGTACCCCAACTACAGCAAAAAGAGAAATTATGACTTTACACATTGATGCAGTGTCCCAACTTAGCTCATAACTAACCTGACATTTAGTATCCTTATTTTTTCAGGGCCAAGGAACACGAAAACGACTTCAAAGTAAAAATATCTCCAAGAAAAACTTAGAACATTGCGGTATCTTTTTTAATCCTGGGAATTTTAAAATTTCACAATAAATTAACTTAAAAAATTATAAAGACCTCTTAAAGCGCACAATTTTAGATACCTGTTTATAACTAGTGTCTATATTACTGAATATAATTATGTTTTTCTTTTTTATATATCTATTTGTTTTACTTATGGCTTATTTAATTTGCTACCAATTTCTGTATTTTTTTATTATTTTTTTTTTATTATTATTATTATTTTTTTTTTTAATTTGAATTCAAGTTACATTTCTTTAGTTTTTATAGTTTTTACCTTTGTAGATATATTTTTTTATTTTTATTATTTTTTTATTTATTGCATTGTATATATAGTATGAATAGGCCTCACTCAGCTTTAGTATCCAGTGCCCTTAAATGTGGCAAAATGTATTATTTCTCAATAAAAAGATTTAAAAAAAAAAAAAGAATATAATTGTTATTTTAATAAATTTGTTTTAAATTTTAAAATCACAACTAAATATGCAAAAATGTATCGTTTATCAGTTATGAATATTCATTTTACAGTGGTTCTTATGGAATAATAATCATTTTATTTTTTACTACAATAAAATTTTAAACGCCATCGATAAGAATATTTTAAACTCCGTCGATACTTCTTCACATTATCCGATGAAAAAAATTCATATTTTTTTCATTAATTTTAGTAGATTATATTAAGAAAAACTGATACAGATCAAGTCATAAAGGATCGATCAGATACTATCAGATTCAATTTACCTTTATGAAATTATAATGACATTTAAAAAGAATAAGGGTTTCAGACTGAAAATAGTATATTTTATTACTAACAGACAGCAGTATTAGTGAAAAAAAGTAAATAAAAGTTGTTTTTTTCATTAAAACCGTCTTATACGGATACCCATTGACCCCACCTTTTATTTAATTTTAAACTTTAGTTCATTTAACTGTGTTGTTTATTTATTTATTTAGATTAGAGCGAAAATAAACGATAGTTATATAAAGTCAAAGGCGTAATATAAATGTTTATGTTATCTAGGTATACAAAATTACAATATTAAAACAATAAAATTTAATATTTAATGTAATTTTTACCCCACTACGCAGTCCCTAAACAAACACTTTCTCTGGTAGTAGTGAAACATACCTTTACTGCCAATCCCAGTGGTGGAGGAAGCGAAGAGGACTGTATGGTTTCCTGGTACGACCACATCGTGCGGGGTAGATACTTCTCTTTCAGCAGGCTTGGCTCTGATTGAGAAGGCTAAAACCATTCCTCCAGGCAGGAGGTTTCTACGTTGGGCTAGCTCCACGACCAGAGAAAAAAATGTAAAATTCTAAAAGACCTGAATTAAAGCCTTGGATAATCGGAAAGTCTAATGGGTATCGACACAGATAACGGAAAAGGACAATCAATTTTGGATGCTGGAATATTCAAGGCTTATCTACCAAGATAAATATTTTACCAGATGAACTTCTGAAATACGGACTAGAAATAGTGGTACTTTCTGAAACTAAAAAGAAGAGTAACGAAAAGAAATGTTTAAGGAATATATTCATTTTTGGAGTGGTGTAGCCAAATCGAATCGGGCAAACGCTGGGGTATCAATACTACTTCATAAGAAGCTCAAAAATATCAAAAAATCATTACATAGGATTTGATAAGACCTAGAATCATATCAGCGAAAATCAAATTACTAGGAAGAGAAGTCGTTATTGTAGGAATATATGCTCCAACAAATGACTCTCTGGGGACTGAGAAAGATGATTTCTGGAATAACTTAAGAGACACCATAGAAAAGATATCAAAAAGAAAAGAAATTCTTTTGAAGGAAGACATGAATTCCAGAGTAAAGTGAGAAACTGAAAGTAAAATAGTAGGAAGATAAGCTGACGATAATGGAAATGGCAACGGTAACAGCTTAAAGGAAATTTGTGAAGAATTCGAACTTGTTATACAGAACACTTTCTTCCAAAGTAAAAACATTCATAGATTTACTTGGGCACAAATGAAACGAAATTTTAGATCTATGATACACTTCATTATAATGAGACAAACTAGCTCCATCAAATTCAACATTGTTCGGGTGTATAGAGGAGCTGAGTGTGGCTCAGATCATTTTCTTGTTAAAGGGAAAACTGAGTGGCTGTGGAGAAGAAACCATAATCATAAAAAAAAAAAGAAAAAAAAACAAGAAGAAAATTATTATTACAGAAAAGATTAAGCTATTGTAGGAGGAAAGCATATGTTGGTTATATGAAAAAAGAACGGACCAGAAACTTAGGGAAAACTTTGATGGGTATGCTGAAGAAATGTATAAATATGTTACAGCAATAGATGACAAAATAGCCTGTGAAGTTCTAGAAAATAAAAATTTTGAAAAGAAAAATACCAACTATTGGATAAATCAGGAGATAAAACTTCTGGTAAACAAGAAGAAAAAAGTGTATTTCCAATGGCTATATAAAAAGGACAGTGTAAGTCCAACAAAGTGTACCTGCTTACCGTTAACGACGAAATACGGAATGCAAAAAATGATGAATGTAAAATAATGTATGAAAATATTAATGCACAACTGGGATATAGGAAATCCACAGAAGCATGGATGTCCTAAAATGTCCTAAAAACATTAAGGAAACAGACAACCAATATACAATTAATAGATATTCGGTAATGGCAGGAATACTTGGAAAAACTGTTAAAGGAAGACCGAAGGATTTTAAAGAGGAAGATGTACACCATCACAAAGACACAACATGGCAAATATCCACCGAAGATTTCAAAGAAGCCTTAAAATATGGTAAGAATGGAAAAGCTCCAGGACCTTGTGGAATACCTCTGGAACTCCTAAAATATGGTGGTGAAAAATTGGCAATAATTCTCAAAGAATTAATAAAAAATATCTTGGCGGGAAATGATCTGCCCAATGAAATGAAATTAGGGTATCTATGCCCCATATACATAACAGGTAATAAAATATTATGCAAAAACTATAGAGCTATCTGCGCCACCAACGCTTTTATGAAATAATTGCCAAAGGTAGGTTAGAATAGGGAATATGAGGCTACAGAAGACGAAAGTGCCTTAACTGCAGGAAGATCGTGCATCGATCATATTTTTACAATGAGATAGATCTTTGAAGAACACCTAGAAAAATCTGAAGATGTGGAGTGTATCTTCAACGAAACTGACAGTTAGAAGTAGAAATGGACTTTTAGAGAATAGCAGCAAGAAAAACAAGAAGAGAAAGGATCAAAAATGAAAGAATTCTTTAAATGATGAAGGAGGAAAAAACATTATAGCAAATATTGAAAAGAAAAGGTTATCCTGGTTTGGACATGTGAAAAGAATGACGCTAGAAAGATTGCCAAAGATATTTATTGAGCTGGAAGGTAGAAGAAAAAATAGAAGACCAAGGGTAAAATGGAAAGACGTGGTGAAAGAAAGGCTGGCGGGTCGTGGTATCATAGAAGAACAAACCTTGGCAGGGGTACATATCACCCGAAGGTCGATGACTCAAGAACCTCCCAAGATATTTTATTGCATATCTTTTCTTAAAAACAGAGCAAGCTAAGGTTGAATTATAAAAATCGTAGATCATATACAATTATACTTTCTGCAGTATGTTCCATGTTTTCCCCCTTGTCCCTAGTCCGAAAAATCGAAGCCCCTTTGAAATTTACCCTCCTCGGAAATTCAAAAGCCCGTCAAAATATACCCGCCCTGAAAAATTTTGATGGCGCAACTTGAAATCCCCTTCTGGTCACTATTTACAAACCCTATATTAAGGCACAGTTCCACCATGGAAGTATTAAAACAAAGTAAAAACCAGGAATATTACAATGTCTAAAATTTGAAGATATTGATACAAGAAGAGGATACAAGAAAAAATTCATATCTATGAACTAATTAGTTATAAATATATACATATACATACAAGAAAGAATTAGGAAATTATAAACAACAGAGGAAAAAAAAATGAAAGACCCAACAGAGAAGTAAAATGTAAAAATAAAAACAAAAATGAGAGACCATACACAGCAGAACTAATTTAAAAGTACAATTAAAAAACTAACATAAATAGTTAGAATTAGAATTAGTTGTATATATTGTAAGAAAATAAGATTTAAATACAAGGTAAGATTGAGAAGTTATCGATATAGGTACAATAAATACAAAATAAAAACGGATGATAAAACATAGATGTAGAATGTAAATTTTTATTTTTATATTTACAATTCCTCCAGAGATGACTTAGGGAAAACTCTAAAATATTATAACATTTTTAATTGTTCTGAGAAAAAGGAAAATGACATTAAATATAAAGATTTAGTGGAGGAATCAATTAATACTTGAAAATGGTTATATTGTAGGCCGAAACGTTGTCGAGATAAAATAAAAATAAAATAAAATGTTGGTTGAAAAACGGTCTTAATTTATAAAAATGAAAAAAATAAATAAATAAAATAAATTTTTCAGTATAAAGTTCCAATCAATAAAGAAAAAAAATTTTTTTACTAACCTGTATATAGGTTTAACGTCGTTTTTGTACCAAACAACAAGTGTGACTGTGTCATTTGGTATTGGAGGGCTCATATCACACGGCAAGTGTGCAGCTGTCCTCTTGACAGCCTGAACTGCCACTATAGGACCTGAAAATAAACAATATTAGCTTTATTTTTCTCTAATAATATTTTAAATGTCACATGTACATATGTCAAAATTTCATTATTACATAATAATGAAAGTGAAACAATTTCTGAGCGGATTTCTTGTAAGTAAAAGAGATCGGTTACGTTCACTTTCAATCATTTTAAAATAAGAGTATAAAATAACTAAAAATAATTAGTAAAAAATAGAATAATAACTAGTATATTTTTAATACTTTTAATATATGTGCACAAGTATATGTACCATATTAAAAAATAATGAAATATCATTATCAAATAAGTTAGATGTTTACATTGCTGCCGTGGAAGAATCAAATTTTAAACCGATATTCTTCTATACTTTATCATTACAACTGCAATATCTACAAAGGGTACTTTCTTTACCAGCATCAAGATCACCGAACATTTTGGCTAAAGAAATAATAAAACAGAAAATATTTTAGCACAAAGAAAACACTGAGCTCTGTAATATAATTAATATCCCAATAGAATACACTAGTTATAAAATAATTCCTCATATTTTAACTAAATTAGAAAATAATTTTAAAGCGTATATGAGGGAGAAAGCTAGTGTCTAGATTTCATGACTTTTATAGGGATTTAAACAGCGACTTAGGTGAAAGGCATTACATATCAGATGTAAATAAAATGTATTTTATTAAACGTATATTTAAATTGAGTGGAAAATTATTGTTTCTAAACAATAGTGTTATGAGGAGTGAGCAACAAAGATTGTGAAACCTTTGTAATTTAAATGACATAGAGGATGTATACTACTACGTGTCTGTGTATCCGTGTGTATGTGTGTGTGTGTATGTGTATGTTATCAGTCTAGCTCCAAATCGAAAAGTCGTACGAAACTGATATTACGTATTTAATATATATGCCTTAGATGTGATAGCAACTTTTTCCTTACAATCGGCTAACCGTAAGTGCCACTTTATGTCAACGGTGAAACACATTTTTACAATTTTCTTAAAAACGGCTGTACGATTTTGATTAAACTCGGTATATCATTGAATACTTAAGTGGTCTTTAATATCATTTAGGTCTTATCGCCCTTGATGTCACTTTACAGAGCTTAAACGTCCAATGTTCATAGGCGCCTTTCTCTAAAGTACCTTAAATATGGTTTCTAAAATAATTAACTATCTCTCATTATTAAGAGTTACGAAAAATGCTAAATATAACTTTTGAAAGATTTTGATAATTAAGTAAAGGAGAAAAAAATAAAAATGCTTATCCAGGTCGAAAATGAATATCCGGAAATACTTGTCAGAAGGTATATATATAATATATCATTGGAAAGCGGAGAATTTCAGTCAAAACAATATCTAATATAGAAAGTTGTAGAATGTAACGGAGAGTGGCAAAAATTTATAATTTTTGAAAACTAATAATATTTAACATAAATCACATGTTTTATAGGAAATTAAATGAAATTTACTAACTAAATGTAAACTTTTAAAAGATTTTTAAGTTTGAAAAAAGTATTTAAAATCCACCAAATCAAGGCAATGACATTGTTAAAAAAATTATTTCATTGTACTTGTGTGAAAGAAGAAGTAAAATATAAAATCATTTCATGGATGCATAAAGCATATGTTTATAATCTTAAATACTTTTACTGTAGTTTAATCATTCCAGATCTGATATTATATTTAAATAATTAAGTATCAACGTCCGTTTATTCCGAAATATTGTCAGGTAACTTTTTTAAAAATTAAATTAGTGAATAATTTGACGAATCTCCCCTTTGTGATATTCCAACAGTATCCACTACTACTCCATTGTAGTTTTGTGAAAGAAGAAGTGAAATATAAAAATATTTCATAGATACATTTATAACCTTAAATATATTTACTGTAGTTTAATAACTCTAGATCTGATATTATATTTAAGTATTTAGGTATTTATCGTCCATTAATTCCGAAAAATCATCATGTAACCTTTTAGAAAATTAAATTAGTGAATCGTTGGATCAAATTTCCTTTTGTAATATTCCAGCAGTATCCACTTACAATTAGTGTGACAACTTTTGACCTGTCTATGACAAACAATGCAAATCTCTAAATTCCGTTTTAATAAACTTTGCAATGGAAAATAAAAGTTTAATAAGCAATAGTCTTACAATCCATAATCAACGGATTGTACAATCCATCATTAACCGGTGATATAATAAATAGGATTTTTGTTATTTTAATGGTATTTATGATTTGCAATCATTTTTATTCATTTTTTAGCTTTAGCTCGGTTAAAAATGCAATTCGAAAATTTTATAATAGCCCAACATGGTCAGAAAATAATTTCTATTAAAAAGTTGACCGGTAAGTGAAAGTTGTGTGTTGCGCGCACCAGATTTTTTATATAGCAATTAATTAAACTTGAATCACATATTTATATATATATACAATTTGTTTTCCTCTTTTTCCATGTCATTCATCATATACAATGCAAATACTATACCATCAACATAATCACTATTATACAATGTATATATTTCGGTGAAACCGATACAGCACTAACTTTGAAATATTAGGAGAAAAAAAATATTGGAATGTCAAAATTAAAAAATTTGAAAGCACACACACCATGTAGCATAATCCTATAAACACAGACAAAAATATATGATTAGACAAAATAAAATATTTAAAATTGAGTAAATAAATAAACGATAATAAATATCTATAATTAACCCCTAATTACTATATATGTGGTGATAAATGATCCCAACGGAGACTAGAATAATGTTCTCGGCCAACACTGCAAGCTCCCCGATATCAACACCACCTAGTTCCTAGTAGAACCTCTTTGTTCTTTTAGGAATCGTTCCTCGAGACACAAATCATAGGCCTATTACGGTGAACTCTCTCTCCCTGAAAGTCTCGTGGAATTTATCTTTTAGAAAAGCGATACATTTATCATATACTTTCTTCTTTTCTTTTTCTACTTCATTCGCCTGATCGATGATATTGCTCTCATGAGTGGACAGTTGGATCCAAGACCAGTGCCGTCATTACGGTTCTGGACAATCCAACTATATCCGCATATCTTGTTGGGCCATCAATATCGATAATTCGTAAGTAGTTCGTCGAAGCATGTGAATTCACTTTTCCTAAGGAGCCTCATAAACTCGAATTTGGCCCTATGGTGCCGACCTGTTATGAGGAGAGAGTTGTTGGGGCATTTTCCCAGCACATGGGCTGGTGTTTCCAGACTCTGCCGCATTTTCGACAGAGCGACTCAACTTCCTTCGACTGTCCACTGGCACCTGGGACTCCATGCAGCGGTGCATAGTTGATGTTAAATTATAAGACGTTGCACCACTCTGACTCCGAAAGTACTGTTTCTGGCATATATATTTATTAGCTTTCGGGGTCTCTTCTCCTCAGGGCACCCTGACGGGGAAGAGGACCCTAAGGTGTGTATTGTAGGTGATCTTATGTCAGTGTATTCATTCTATTCTGTGTATATTCGTGCAGCGTACTGAACTTAACCGGAGGATCAGTAATCCATTCCAACTTCTGGTCTACTATAAAAAAAAATCTCGTTTTTCGAGATTGATTACTTCGAATGATTTATCAAAACTTTTTTTTTTTTTTTTTTTTTTTTTTTTTTTATTATTTCAATAGAATTTACAACTGTATTACATAGAGAATACAATAAGTAAATGAGAAATTTGTAACATGGCATGTACAACATGAAGAGAAACTACCCATTGGTAGAACTCAAATTAAAGTTCTATATTAGAAGATCCCGAGGCCATCTTCTTTTCAGACGCCTCGGAGGACTTATCAAAACTAATATCAAGAACTGCTTCATGGAGTTACTGTAACAAGGTAAATACAAATTCCTTCCTTGATGTAGTTTTCAGAAAAATTCTTCCAGTTAAATAGTTTCTATGAAAAAAATTTCTTCCAGTTTCATTCCTCTTACTTATGAAAATATAATTACAGGAGGAAGAATGATCATTACTAATTTGCAAGTTAAAAGTAATGTTATTTATTTGGACTATATTTTTATTTATCACCATCTTGTTGGGAGTAGAACAATTATTTGTTAAGTTTCACAAAAATTAAATACTTTACTACTTGATATCCTATCTTAAAATGTTCATTGCATCTATAATTACGATAAGTCTAAATCATATTATTAGATTATATTAGTAAAAATAAAACTTTTAATTTTAATTATTAAAATTTTTAAGTCTTTCCAAATTAAAATATTATTATGATGCAATAAAAGAGTCAACTTTTTAATTATAAAAAATCAGTTTTAAAATAATTGTTTTTCTTTCTTAAATCTTTTATGATATTCTATGAATTATCTTTGTTAATGATAAGAAAAAAAATCTTCTAAAATATTTTGTAATTTTTTTTCTATATTTGAAAGCTGTATTTTCTCAAAAGCAAAGATATATTTTAAATATTTAGTATTTAGTTTTATTTATTATCCTGATACAGGGATTAGTTATTTTAATACTGCTTATTAAATATAGTGGACAGTAAGAAAAGAAAATTGTACTGTGAATATTTACATACTTTTAGATTGCATTGTGTTAACTTTTGTGTTGCATTGTGTTGAAAAGTAAATAAAATTCAAAATGAGTAAATATAAACTAATAAAAAAAATAATGATTAAATGTATATAATATAAAATCAAAGAAGTCTAAGAATATTAAAAAAAAAAGAAGTGAATTTGCGATGGTTGGACTACCCCTGTCTATATTCTTTAAGAGCACTGTAGGAAATGTCTGGAGAAAATGAACCTATTTTTGTATATAAAATTGGTTTGGGACCAATATTGGTAAGACAAATTGTTTGTTTTAAGTATATGTTCCAAATGTTTTATTGGGACTCTGATAAGGGCTTTTGAAAAAAAAGAGCAATAATAAAATCTAAATAAAACAGTAACATATTTTAAAAAATGCGTTTCTTGCCAAGATCTTACAAATAAAAAAATAAATATAATAATTTCTTATTATCATAAAATATTAAACTAGCCAAAAAAGGAATAATTAAAAAAATAAATTAAGTAATTAAATATAATTCACATGGGCAAATTTTATATATTATTTCTTTCTTCCCTGTGATAAGTGTGTGTTTTGTGTGAATGCTACTATACCGGAGTGTTGTGTTGTCAAGTATAAAAGGGTGAGTTTTATTTTGCACAATATATAACCTACCACTTAAATCAAAATACACTCCACTGCCAAATTAAGTCCAATATTGCCCATGTTGAACTCATTAGAGTTATTTGCCTTTACTTTAATTTAATTAAATTTGGAAAGTATCCTAAATATTAGGATTTAATTAAATTAAAATAAACAGTTTAAATTTGAATCCTTATAAATTAAGCATAACTTGATGTTAATAAGTGATGTTATTTGATCACCTAGGTCTGCTAAAAAAACGAACAGAAAAAAGTTATATTAAATCCATCAGGAACCAGCCAGCTATCTTAATGGGTTGGCCCAGTTACCCCTTCCTTAAAAAAAATTTCAGGATTACTGTACTATCCCTTCCAGACAAACAGTAGAAGAAGTAATTGGCATATTTATAGATAAATTGATTCATTTGTTTATGCCAAGTTGTAATAAAGAAACAAGTACTTACCCACAAGTGATGGAAGCTCATTAATTATTCAAAAACATTTCATTATTTGACAAAATTTCATTTTGAAAATTATAAAACCAATCACAACTACAAAAAGGCTGCAAATGAAAAAAAAAATTTGATTTTTGTTCTAGAAATAATCAAAGAGTATGGTGTAATGACACTTAAGACCCTAGCAGTTGCGTGTACATAAGATACCTAATCTAACCTCAAAGAAGATGAAGGAGTGCCAAACATATAACATTATAATTTTTACAAATATGGACATGAATGATCTCTAGCTCAGTTACTCCCTAGTTCCAGAAAGTCTGGAGCACCTAACGTAACAATGTTCCTACAAACATTTTCTTTCAAAAATATTAGATTGATAAAAAAATTTTTTAAAAGTTTGTTATTATTAATGCTGATAAAAATAATAGCCATTAGTATTTATCTATATTCTTCTCAGGATTAAAAATAACAAATTAATAAAGCTACTTAATCCTTATAAAAATACAAATGATAATGTTAATATAGCTATTATTTTGTATTCCATATTTTTTATTCCATGGAAATATATTTTTTTTATTTTATTAAATTACAAAGCTAAAAGATGTTTGAATAGAATTACATGAAGGATCAGTGAAGAAAAGTGGCCATCAAGGATCAATTCAGAACCCAAATCTCAATCACTATGACTTAGATGCTGTTATTCCCAAAAAAATCTAAAGGTAGAACCCCATTTCAAAGGAACCTTCCTAATGGAAAATATTAGAATAAAGAGGAATAAGGGGAGATAGAAAGAGAAATTCTCGAATTAAAGATAAAAATATAAAAATTTTAATGAAACATATGTGATGTTGCATTATGCTAAAGGCATGTCATAATTGTAGACAAAAAGATTTGTTAACAAAAACATTAATATAGGGATAATTCAGGAACCTTAGATGTTATGAGACATAATTAAAGAACTCAAAACTAAGGTAATTTTGCTCAACTAGCATAGAAGGAGGAAGGACCAATAGAGGCAATGATCATAGATTTCCAATCTGATTGGGGGAGAAGGCAATGGACCCCCCCCCCAATGGTCAAAATCCTGGAAAAACTCATTTTAAAACTACTGAACCCCATCCAAGATACTAATAATATAACCCCTGATCATCAATTTTGATTTTGCACATCCCATTCCACTATCCAGCAATGTCATCGGTAACCCCTATCTTCATATGAAATTCAAAAAACAAATGTAATATCAACAAAACGCTTTTATTTTACAATATATATATATGTATATATATATATATATATATATATATATATATATATATATATATATATATATATATATATATATATATATTAATAAGAAATATAAATGTAATAATGATATTGTAATTTAATGTTAAGAAATATAAATAAAAAAACACTTTTATTGTACAGCAAACATATACATATATATATTAATAAGAAGAATAAATATAATAATAATGATAATATTGTAATTTAATAATAAGAAATATAGAAGAAGGTGACGTAAGATATGATAAGAAGAGAGGTTTACCAGAGGCCAGGTCATTCACAAGTACCCTATCCTTTATACAGTTTATACAACTGATATCCCAATCCATCCCAACAAGTTGTGATGACCTTTCAAACTGCTCCAAAACTTACTAGCCAAATGTTCTAAACTTTCAATTAATTACAAAAGACTCATATACTTAACCAAAATAAGACTTATATGAACATAATAAGTTGAGCTTTGATGTTCTACCAAACAATAGAATTCCTATCGTACCCAATCCATACAATCCAAAATCCTTCATAAAATCCTTAATGCCCCATATTGTGTCACAAATAAAACCATTCATAAAGACCTTAATGTTCCATATGCCCCCGATTTAGACGAACCAGATACCTATCCTCCACCTGTCTCTCCAGTCCCGTCCAAATCCACTTGTTGCCAGCCTTGCTTCTTCCTTGATTTCTGATAATCCCCTTAGGCATCTGAAAAGAAGATGGCCTCGCGATCTTATTACCTAGAATTAAATAGGGAGGGATACCACTGGGAAGTATCTCTTCAAGTCTAATCATGTCATTATTTCTAATGTCTGCAAATAATACAATATTCTAGTCACATCTCTATTTTGATGATTTCAATATCTACAATATAATATAAAAACAAAAGATGTGAGTACTCTTACGAACTCTGTGAAGGGATAGAGAATTTATCCCCAACTGGCTGGATATATATGTTTCTCTTAAAAGATCGAATAATTGCTTCTGGTTCAGTTTTTAAACCCCCAAAAAATATATTGTATAAGTCTGATGTAACTGAGGTAAAATTTTACAATTATGGGACAAAAATTCAATCAGTGCAAACACCTTTATTCAGTAAATATAGTGCCTATACATACATACATATATATATATATATATATATATATATATATATATATATATATATATATATATATATATATATATATATATATATATATATATTAATAGATTAATGTTCAAGAATTAATATTTAAAAAAATGTGTGCTTATGACAACTTAACAATTTAGGGTGTTACAACTGTATCATAATAATACGATTATTTATTATTTCGTTTTGACTAAGTGCAAGTAAAATAATCTATATAGTTAACTTACTAAAAAAAAATACTCATTTAGTACAACATATGTATTTGCTATTTTAGTCACACTATAATTAATAATATAAAATAATAAACAGTCACATTATAATAAAATAATAAATTTATTAATCAAATCACATCCAATTCATGTCACCAAAATTTTGTTTGGATGTATAAATACATCTTATGATGAAATATATACCTCGACTCCATATTAACCTCAATAACTGACCAAAGATCAGAAATAAACCAGCGTGCAACACGCTCAAACAGAGATTTCTCGTCTCTCCTTGAAAGATATTGAAATCTCCCTGAAAACATCAACAAGTCTAATATTAAGGTAGTATAATGCTATGATAAAGCTAGTTCTGATATATAGCAGCAAGATCTGAACACTAACCAGTATCCTAGAAATAAATTATTGAGGATGTGAGGGAAAAATCCTGAGCTGAAAGGATAGAGCTCATTATTAATGAAGACAAAACAAAATACACGACTAAAGCTCTTTCATTGAGCAGTATGAAACATTCTGATTGGGCCATATTCCTTCCAGTTAGTAGAGGAATTAACTTATTTAGGATCACAACTCGATTCCAAGAATGACATTGAACTGGATATTTGGTGTCGAATTGTGTCTGTGAACAGATGTTACCGTGGACTAGTTGGACAATTCAAGAGCAGACCAGTATCCTGAGCTACAAAGAATACAAAGAAGGTCGTATCCAGGAGATTTGACATAAATAAATAAAAACAAAATTACAAGCCATATCAACTTGAAACATCATATTGTAATCTTATTAAGGGAAAAACTCAGAACAAGATAGAAGTAGCATAGGGCTAGATATCTTACAGATAAAACCTACTGTAACAAATCGACTAATAAACTAAAAGTAGAAATTAGAAAATTCAACGCTAATAAATTATTTAACTTGACTGAAAATCCTACAACTACTGACAAATCACTATAGACGACCACCAAAAGTTGCTGAACTTTAAATACTTTAATCACCCACAACTTACTGAATCCCAAACCTGGTCCAAATCCGACGGAGAAAAATCTCAAATATTCAGTCAACACCTCTTTCAAACTTTCAATCCTCACCCTGATATCCTTAATTTAACTCACCTGGAATGCATTGAGGTAGAACTGGATACTCCTCTCTATATGTCCTTTCCACCTAAAGCTTTCCATACTACAGATATATCCAACATGATTCACAGATTGCCTTTACCCCAAAGTTCCTGGACATGACCTAATTACATCTCAAATATTAAAAATTCTTCCTCGAAAACTCATCCTATTCCTTACTTATATAAACAATGCTTTGCTCCACGTATTTCTCTGACCCTTGGAAACTATCAATTGTCAAAATGACCCACAAACCCAAAAAGCCACCTGAATACCCATTTTCTTACCGTCCTATCACTGTTTTACCAATCATGCTCAAAATCCTGGAAAAACTCATTTTAAAACCACTGAACCCCATCCTAGATTCTAATAATATAATCCCTGATCATCAATTTTGATTTTGCATATCCCATTCCACTATCCAGCAATATCATCGATAATCCCTATCTTCATATGAAATTCAAAAAACAAATGTAATATCAACGAAACACTTTTATTTTACAATATATATATATATATTAATAAGAAATATAAATAACAAAACACTTTTATTTTACAGCATACATATACATATATATATTTATATATATACATATATATATACATATATATATATATATATATATATATATATATATATATATATAAATATATATATATTAATAAGAAATATAAATACAATAATAATAATAATATTGTAATTTAATAATAAGAAATATAGAAGAAGGTGACGTAAGATAAGATAAGAAGGGAGGTTTACCAGAAGCCAGATCATTCACAAGTACCCTATCCTTTATACAGTTTATTAAACTGATATCCCAATCCCTCCCAACAAGGTTATTACAACCTATGCAGATGACACCTTTCAGACTGCTCCAAAACTTACTAGACAAATGTTCTAAACTTTCAATTGATTACAAAAGACTCATATACTTAACCAAAATAAGGCTTATATGAACATAATAAGTTGAGCTTTGATGTTCTACCAAACCATAGAATTCCTATTGTATCCAATATATACAATGCAAAATCCTTAATGCTCTATATTGTTTCACAAATAAAAATATTAATAAAGATCTTAATGTTCCATATGCCCCCGATTTAGACCGAACCAGACACCTATCCTTCCACTTGTCTCTCCAGTCCCATCCGAATCCACTTGTTGCCAGCCTTGCTTCTTCCTTGATTCCTGATAATTCCCTTAGGCATCTGAAAAGAAGATGGCCTCGCGATCTTATTACCTAGAATTAAATAGGGAGGGATACCACTGGGTAGTATCTCTTCAAGTCTAATCATGTGATTATTTCTAATGTGTGCATTTTTACTGGTTGTATTTTTTATACAGTTGTAAATTTCATTAAATAAATAATAAAAAAAATACAATATTCTAGTTACATCTCTATTTTGTTTGTGGGGGGAGGGAGGAGGGAGAGATCTGCACCCTTATCCCGCAAAGTCTGCACCTTTGGTAATGATAATAAATAATAATAGTATTATCTTACATTTCATGATTACAGAATATACTACATAAGATATACTCGTCACCATGACAGGGGAGTTTCAGAAACAAGTACGAAGCAAAAATCTAAGAACTAGTAGAATTATTTATTAACCAATACTAAAAGCATAATGAATTCATCCATGGCTATGATTTCAATATCTACAATATAATATAAAAACATAAGATGTGAGGACTCTTGCGAACTCTGTGAAGGGATAGAGAATTTATCCATTACTGGCTGGATATATATGTTCCTCTTAAAAGATCGAATAATTGGTTCTAGTTCAGTTTTTAAACCCCAAAAAATATATTGTATAAGTCTGATGTAACTGAGGTAAAATTTTACATGGGATAAAAATGCAATCCAGGCAACACCTTTATTCCGTAAATTTAGTGCCTATATATATGTGTATATATATATATATATATATATATATATATATAAGCACACATTTTTAAAATATTAATTCTTGAACATTAATCTATTAAAATATATAAGTATATATATATATATATATATATATATATATATATATATATATATATATATATATATATATATATTTATATATTTTAATAGATTAATGTTCAAGAATTAATATTTTAAAAATGAGTGCTTATGATAACTTAATAATTTAGGGTGTTACAACTCTTTCATAGTAGTAAGATTGTTTATTATTTCGTATTGACTAAGTGCAAGTAAAATAATCTATATACTTCACTAACTAAAAAAAATTTACTCTTTTAGTACAACATATGTATTTGATATTTTAGTCACATTAGAATAAATAATACAAAATAATCATCAATCACATTATATGTAAATAATAAATTTATAAATCACAACTACATCCAATTCATGCCAACAAAATTCATTTTGGATGTATAAATTGATATTATGATGAAGTATATTCAATCTTCTTCTTCTGAATCGGTTTCAAACTCAGGATATAGAATTGAATTCATTTGAAGAAAGTCAAATATTCTCTCAACTATGTAATCAACATATTGGCGATGAGCCTCCATTTCTCCTTCATCGACCTCACTGTCGTCATCGGATTCAGTGAAATGGTCTGCCGTTACGGCAGCCTGAAATGATAACAACATTCAAAGAATGAAAGGTATCGTTAATTAAAATTTATACATAAAATATATGATAAAATCCGTATCTGGAAGAGCTGATGTCCGAAACTTTTTACACAAAATTTGAGTGAACTGTAGAGTAAATTATAATTAACATCTTCAGATTTTCTGCTTTTGGTAGGACAGTCTCACTTTTAGGCAATGTTTCCTGGTGTCCTCAGGATTTACTGTGAGTCACATAAATTTCCTACTTTGAATAATGCAATGGTACATTGATTTTCTGTCTCCTGATTTATATTTGTAAACAACAGATGTAATATTACATTAAATTTTCAATCATAAGCAGTAATTCCCCAAAATGAAGTTCTCTTTAAATGTTGACATGCATGGAAAATTTCGATTTACAAACTTGAAAAGTGAAATAAATAAATAGGGGTTTCTTATGCAGAAAAGTTGAACATTATTTAGTCTTTGCTTCTTCATAGAAAGCCACACCGCTGTTGAGAGAATATTTTCAGCAGTTAAAAAGGAATGAAAGGTGGAGATCATGTACCTTGCAAAATTGGTGAGACTAATTAGTTAGTTCATATAATAATCATAAAACATAAACTTTTTGCTTTACTCCCCAATGACAACAAAGATGGTATGCCACTTCATGGCAGCAAATATTTGTTCACATTAGTTCCACGTTAATTATTAAAAGGGCCAATGTTCTCCCAGTATATTAGAGTTTAGACAATAGCTAATAGCGGGAGGACATGGGCCTTTTAAACAATTAATCTCTATAACATCATTTATGCAAGTTCAAATTTTTAAGTTTAGAATAATGGTCCTTTTTGATGAAAAGTACAGGTATTGAAATGAGTAATTATGAAGTTGTATTCAGGTATGTATAGGAATGACTCGACCATACCTGAAATAAACAAAAAATCCTCGTCTTGAATTAATTGGTAGAAATACTCAAAAGGGTAGGATAACCTATTGAGTAACATGTTATTTTTATTGTCAGTAAATATTGACAAAAAAAAAAAAAGGAAAGGTAGTTCATTATTTTCCCAATATATATTTTGTAAATTAAAAAAGAGTCAATATATACTTTATGGTTGATCATAAAGTTCTAAAAAGCCAGGGTTGGATATTGATAATTATTATTTCTACAAAATAATAATTATCATGTTTGATTCTAAATTAAAAAATCATGCCTGATTTATAAATAAAAATTTAAATTGATCTTTGGTGTTTATTGATTCGATTAAAAATATTGATCACTCACTGAGTGACGTGTAATGATGGTATTACATAAATAATAATGATTAAATTGTGATAAAAAAAATATTGATCAGAATAAAAAAATTCCCTTTTACACACAAATTAATATATTGATATATATGCATGCATTGTTGAGGTAAACATTTATTAATATTTTATTTCTGATATCGCTTTAACTTTGCTAGTGGTACCTGCTACACAGATTACTGTTGAGAGGATTTTTTCAGCATTGAAGTACATCTTTAGTGACTAAAATTCCCTGTTTACACCTGAGTTCCTATATATCATAGAGATAATACAAAAACTTGAAATGTCTGATTTAAAATAGTGGCACTCAAAATCATTATTGTTAACCGTAAAGATCTTTTTGAAAAATAATGATAATAATCTATATGATTTTATAACTTATGATAAAACATAAAATTTCACTTAATAAAAATCACAAAATTATTTTTAAAACATTTTATTTTGATTTTTTTAATTATCGATTTCTAACTCTGTCAAAACGAATCCACTTTTCTGTATTTGAAGAATTACTAAAGTAATAATGGTAAACAATGATTGTTTATTAAATTATTTTCCAAACTAAAAGAACTATGGCAACTCTTTAAGTCTTATGTACAATAAAAATAGTTTATTATTTTATATATAATTAGTTTGAGGAACTAGTCATGTATGTATTAGAGGAAAGATAGAAGGGCTAATAAGATTATTAAAGTGAAAATGTAAATGATAAAGAGTATGAGTTTTGAAGGTAGGAAAAAACTAGAACTATTTAATACAGGACAAATGGATGCACTGCTGGGAGGAGAATCAGTCCTCACTTCTTGATGAGGTACTTAATATGTTTGGTAGTTAGTAATTTTATCTAAGAGGTTTGTTTGCTAAATTTGTATTTTTACATATACATAAATCCAGTACTGGTATGTATCAGATACTGGGAGAAGTATCTGAAGCCTTCAAAGTTTGAACTGGCTTACGCAGGAAGGTTGACTCTCATTGGTGATGTAAGACTAAGCGCTGGGAAAGGTGATAAGAACGTCATGTGAATATAGAGGGGTACATGTTGGAATGGACCGTAAAATCGCTGGATATGCAGATGTTATAGCTGTTCTTGGAAGAAACTAAGAAGTTGAAAGACTCTGATAAACGAAGCAGAGCCAATTGGTCTACAAGTAAATAAAGACCCCTAGAAAGAAAATATATGATAATAAGCATAAAATTCCACCCTAATAACAGGATTTGCATAGAAGAGAAATTGTTCTCAAGAGTAGACAAATTCAAACACCTCGACTCCATATTAATCTCAATGATTGGCCAAAGATCAGAAATAAACTAGCGCGTAACACGCTCAAACAGAGATTTCTCATCTCTCTTTGAAAGATATTGAATTCTCCCCGAAATCATCAATAAGTCTCATATTAATGTAGTACAATGCTATGATTAAGCTAGTTATGATTTATTTAATTATTTGGTTCAGGCCATGAAACTGCCATGTTATTATTAAAAGATTAATGAAAGAATAGATCATGTAAAAAACGATTGGTAAAAAAAAAAGATAGAATTGCTGGAAATAATTTGATATCGTATTTCCAATATGAAAGAGAGACATCCTTTTCAATCACTACAAAATGGTTTTTATTATAAATACATCACAGATCAGGAATGAGGTGGGGAATATAATTAGCAACATGGGAGTATTAAAATTGGTGCAAAACCTAAAATATTAACAAATTTAGGGGTAAAATGGTTGAAGAATTGTTTAATAAAATTATTTAAATTATTTTTGTTGTAAAATTGGTACTTAGTAAATTTTCATCTTTGTATAACTGAAAGATTTTTTTTATTATATTTAAAAGAGGAATGGATATTGTAAATAAAGTTCATAAGCCTCATACTGTTTTCTTAACAATAATTTGAACATTATACATTAAGCAGTTAGAGAAGAACTTTGGAGTTTAATAGGCATTCATTTCATTTGAATATCTTGGGATTTTAAATTAAAAAATTTGACCTGAAATTCAGAAAAGGACGTGTCAACTCAGAATTTAGGAAATCAGCTATGAAAGTGAATTACACCAATTTTTAAGTACAGTACGAATTTATCAGATTTTTCATCATGATATTTGTGTTAATTAAAAGGAATTATTAGAATAGGATTTTTGTTAGGGAAGTTCATATTTAAGAGAAAAAGAAAACATTAACTTATCAGGTCAAAGATATAATAGTTATAGAATGAAATGGAAACTATACAGAGAAAGATTTTCGAGAAATATTTAAAAAAAGTTGAAGACTGAAAGAGAAAATGGAGTGTTGAAAGTAGAAGGCCTGTTGATATTGAGGTTTGTGCTAGTTGTGAATCTGTTATTATGGGGTGTGCTACTATTGAGGTTTTGCATCATATTATTAATCCCATGCCTGTCAGATCATATGTATTGGATATATGATTGGAAGTACATAAATTGGTTAAATTAGAAATGGACAAACAAATAACAACAATTAATCAGGAAGAAGTTGGTCAAAGTGGTGTTTATTAAAATTAAAACAAGATATAGTAAAAACAATTTAATGACCGACAAAATATTGGCCCCAATTTGCCCCAATTAGCCCTTCAGGGCCAATTTGTGCGTAGCTAGGAGGAGAACCAAAATTTTGTAACAGAAATATTTTAATTATTTATTTGGTAAAAGATAAATTAAATTTTACCAATATTCTCTGTTTTATTTTTAAATTAGATTTTTATCAAGGGTCATCAATATATATTTTGGCCTGACAATATAACTGTAACAGATATAACTTACTGATTTATTTATACTTAATTCTTATCAAAGCATATAAATCACAATAGATAGACTGCAAATATTTACTAAGATTCAAGCCATGCATTTAAATTTACATATTAACCTAAGTACTAAGGTAATTTAAACCAATAGCACATATGTCTATACTGATTTTCAATTTTTTATTTCTGTTCCAGGATTAAAAAGTATATACTTTGATTACTGGTCGGTTCATTTGTATCATGGGTTAAGTTAAGATTGATTAACTTTAATAAATATCTTAAAGAAAGTTACAGATTCTGCTAACCAACACAATATATTTTATAACCACAAAACATGATTAGATATGATATCGATTGTTTATCAAATTAAATTAAATCATATGGGTTGTCCTGCTCCTACACTTTCTTTATACCTTACAAATGGTGAAATAAGAAGTATCTAACCTTCTTCACATAAAAGTAACCTAATACTATGAACTGTCACTACTAAATCCTCTGTCCTACTAAAAGTTCCTCAGCATGGGCATGATAACATTAAATGTGCTCTGTGGTCTGACAATTTATAATCCTAGTATACCATACAGTTAAACTTCCATAATCAATGAAAGAAATATAACATAATACTTCATAAAATGCTACTAATTATTCTCCCATTATTGATTAAGTTACTTATTTCCCTTAAATCTGAGTTTGTAATATTCGACAATAGTAATAATTTATCCCTCAAGAATTATTATTTATATTTTTATTTCATACTCCTCATAATAGATATTTACTTCATATCTTGTAACAATACTCTCTAATCATAGAATAGAATTATGAATGGTAATAAAATCATTGAGAGATCAAATTCTTACCAGAAAAAGTTTGTAAATCAATTTCAATATACACCAATTTTTTTTTCTAACACATATTTCGGTACAACAGTACAAGTGTCTTTAAAATTTGATGGGTGGTCTTAAGATCTCATAGA